GGACGCGGGAGGAGATGTGCCCGTGTTAGCGCGGGCGCCGGGCAGAACTGCTTTTACACCGGCTGGAGGAAAGTCTCCTGCTTAAGTCGCTTTGGGTGGCGTGGTTGATGCCTGGCCGCAAGCATCCCGGAGAGCGGGGATGGCATTGCACGGGGAGACCGTGAGCCTCCCTTTCCTGGGGCCGAAACACGCTGCCCCATTTTTCCTGGAAGGTCTATACCTCCCCTCCCCCCACTTCCTCTTGCATTCGATTGCACAGCTCCGGGCGCTCCCTGCAACTCAGGTTCACACCTGGGCTCCAGTTCTCCAGCGCAGCGTGTCCCCGATCAGGGGGCGAGAGGGACCCAGCGCCCCGCACCCAGCTGTCAGTCCCTAGTGCCAGGTCCTTCCAGAGTCCCCTTGCACCACATCAGCTGCTCCTGCGTTTGTGCAGGGACCCGACTTGCCCTCCCCTCATCCTACTGCCTCATGCCACCTACCCCTAGGCCAATATCGTCCCCGTTTCTCTCTCCCAGGGCCTGCTGCCTCCGAGTTTTGCGCAGGGACCAGTGGAAGGGGATGGAGCAGATTTTTGTGCATTCTTTAAATGCAGACTGTTAAAAGGGGCATGATTTGACTCCAGCTCGTAAGAGAAACAGGCACGGGAATAAAACGAACCCTATTCCCCCAAGCGGTCCTCTGACATCCCGAGTCCCCGCTCAGCTGGGGGCTTCCACCTCAGTGCAGGTCCTTGGGACAGGATTTCTAACGCGTGTGCATTAGATTAATCCTTAGTCACAAAGGTAACAAAAATCAATGTGGCTTTCGCGCCGGATTGTTCTCATTAGCGCACCAGGCCCCCCTCCTCTTTTCCCTTTCCATCACCATTTTATGATCTATTATAAAACTCTCTCTCTCTATAGTTATACACACTTCACATTAATTGCATTAGCAGGAGTTTTTTGATCCTGACAAATAATGGCTGTATTTCAAAATTTGGCTCTAAACCTCTGGGAAATGGGCATTTTTGAAAAGCCTCCCTCCTCCCCCAAACGAAGAGACAAAACCACCTGCCCAATGTGTACGCCCGGTGTCTGTTCCTACGTACCTTGTTGAACCCAAACCTGCTTGTAAAGTCCTAGCTGGATAAATCGTGTGGTCTGAGCTCTTCCATCAATTCTTCCCTAACGAATTCTCGAGCAGCTCAGAGCCCGGCTGTTAGTTACTGGGTCGGGGGAGGGAATTCATCAATAAATGGGGATTTTTGGTAAGAGATGGGTTGGGAATTATTTCTCCAGAGCACGTCTGTCGATTAACTCCGATCCTTAATGCCAGGGGTGTTTCAAACGGACCTGGGGGTGTGGGGTGTGTGTAAACCAGTGAGGGTCTAGTCCAAATCCCATTGCACTCCCTGTACTAGCAGAGGGGAAAGGCGCCAATGAGAGGACGGGGATGTAAGGAAAAGGACCACCAAGACGCCTGCACAGAGCCCCCATGTAAGTGGCCAAAGTCCCCCCACCCCCTTTGCACCCAGTCTAGATGCGGGACCGGCACTAACATCTCCTCCATTGGTTGGCAGGCGGGTACCGGAGACTGAATTCTTTCTGAACTCTTGGATTGCGGCGGAGGGTTCACATCTGGCAGGTGATATTTACAACAAAGATAAGGGAGCGAATAGAGCAGCTCCGTATTCAATGCCTCGCCCGTGTCCCCGGGGCGCAAAGGCAGATAATACTGGAGCAGTGATGGGGAGGGGAGGGAGGCGATCTCCCCAAGCGCAGCTCAGATCAACGAATCAGCTAAAGGAAACTGGCCGTCCAGGGGGAACGGTGTCACTCCAGAGACAGGGACACAAGTTAGCTTGAATAGGGAATCTCTTCCAGGATCCTAGCAAGGCAGTGCTCAGGGGCGGGCGGTAACTGAATGCAACGCCATGCCAGTGATGAAATCCGGCGCTACCTGCCTTGTTGAAGTCCTGTTTTGGTGAATGGAAGGTGCACCTGTTTGCAGGATGCCTCCCCGATATTTGTTCAGTTTTGAAAGGCCCCCTCCCCCCAAATCATTCTCCATCTGTTTTCCCTCTCTCCTAGGGCCAGGGACAGGGGTTGAAATAATGTGTTGCAAACTGCTGGTAAAGGAGCTGTGCAATCCGGAAGCAATTTGTATTTGAGTTAGCAGCGGAGTCTAAAATAGAATGATGAAGGGTTTCACATACAGTGAAACTTGTAGATCTTTGCCTCCAGGCGAAATGCTCCGAAGCAATAGATGTTTGGCAATATGCAGAGGAAGAAATGGAAATAACAGTCAGGAGAGAGTAACTTAAACTGAACAGTGTTATAGCTGCTGCTATTACTGCGCGGTGTGACGCTTCCTGCACGTATTTAAACACACACTTTGGGTATTTATATAGTTTTACATTTTAGTTTACGAGGATCTGACACGTGTAGATAAATACAAGCTTATCCGTAAGCAGGGTGCTTTACATTGATTACAATTATATGGCAGGTAAATTTGCTCCGTTGTGATCCTAGATTGCCCCCAATATGTCTCCATCACCTAATCCAGCTTCTTTCCACAGTCTGACTTTCCCTCCATTACCATCTTTGTCCCCCCTTGGCCTCCTTTCTTCCTCTTCCTTTGTTTGCTCTACCTCCTACGTCCTTCTCCCTCCCAGAGCAGCAGGCGGCAAAGGCTGCAGGTAAGTGGAGTAGGCTCAGGGCCGACAATAGCAGTGGGAATGCACCAGTGAGTGGGAGCAGGGAGAGGGACGCTGGTGAATGAGGTGTGCTGCCCAGAAGGCAGCTGATGGGGAGAGGGGCAGGATGGCCACAGCAACATGTGTGTAGCCAACCCAAAGGACAGTAGAATGCAGGGAAGACTCTGGGGGTATGCTAGGAAAGTGGGACTATCAGTGCCATAGTCTAGAACCGTGTTGTCAACTGCTTTCCAACACAGTTGTCACTAGTATGGTTTCCCGGTCCTATGAAGAAAAGGATATTTTTTCTGCAGTCATGCTATCCTAACCGATGTTACAGACTCTCCTTACGCACTGGAATTTCCAGTCATGTTTGAAATACGTTCTATAGCAGGTTAGTTGGGGACATGAAATATGTTGCCACCATATTAGTCTCACACATAGCCATAAGCACTACTACGGATAGGACCTAAGTGCAGTTATTAGTCCTGAAACTTTTGGTATCAGTTCAGCTTTGAAATGGGACATGTCTCCACATTATCCAGTGCACTTATCACGTGTGCAGACAGGTCGAAAGAGCAGGCCGGCACCCTAGCACGAAGAATTATTTTTGTTCTTGAAAGTTCTTAAAAATGCAGCATGTCAATTGTGTTTAGCATAAACCCTACAGCTACTTTAGGAGTCTGGCATCAGGTGTTGCAACTAGGGACGCATCTGTGAGAAAAATTCAAAAAAGAAAAAGGGGAGTGTTGTGACACAAGAAAGCGAATTGATCCCTACTCCCCACCACCTTCTCTCCCTTTCACGTCCTTTCCCCACTAGTACATATATTTTAAAAAAGCTTCAAAGTTGAGCCAGTGGGACTAGACTAATTGGTTAACGAATATAAGGAAAGCAAAAGCCATGTTGAAAAACTATCTTTGACGGTGTGTATCCCTTAGAGGGAATGATTTACCTTAACCAGCTCGTGTGTTAAGACTACAACTTGCCTTGGCTTTGCTACTAAGATTTTAACAGGTTAATTATTACAACAGCTAATGCCTGTTTAAAATATACCTTTTTTCCCGGTGAAGACAAGGCTATGAAGGCTACTTTGGTCTTGTATACACGAGCTTGTTTTCTTAAAATTTCCCAATCACCAATGGAATTTGCCTATACTACGTGCGATATTGCTACCTCCTGCACTTTGTTTGCACTAGATCTCCCACCATGACTAGCACTTTAAAAATAATAACAATAAAAGGTTAGAGTAGTCAAGTCCCCAGAGTCTTAGGGTGAGATGGAAAAGGTCAAGGTGCATCAGGCTTTCATGCCCTTTGTGGCAATTTCACAGTGCCGTTTTGCAGCCCTTTGAAAGCACAGGGTGGTTGTTTCAATCACAAGAGGCACCCCAAGAATGAATGAGGGCGTAGAGGGGGTGAAAAGAAGAGGGTAGGTGAAAGCATGGAATATCCCTAGTCCTGAGGTTGGATTAAGGCAATCCAGGATCATAGGCCCACCATCACATGTTGCCTCCCCCCACAATGGTCTGGGCCAAAGCCCTGCCCTGGCAATGTTGCCTAGGCCTCTACTTGGTGTGGCAGTGGCAGTGAACCCCCTCCCAGGGAAGCAGGGTCAGTGCATGAGGTCCCCTTCTTCTCCCCAGAGAGGCAGAGGTGGCAGCAGGGGGAGCCCTGAGTATTTACCACATCAGCTGGGGGGTATATGCTATGGTGGATGGACTGCACTCTAGTCCTGCTACCCTACACAGAGTCCTCTGTTATGTGCTGTTGCTGCTCTCTCCCTCTCCCCTGAGCAATGGGTCATGGAGCTAACAGCCCATTGAGAGGAACAGGGCAGTTCTCACATTCAGAACTATCATCTCCAGCTCTCTGCAGCCTCAGGCAGACCCACCAGTGCTTTGGTTACATTTGCCTCACATTTTCAAATGTTTCTTTGTACTCAGGAGGGCTAGAGACTTACTTTCTTTAATGGCACCTGAGATGATGATGTAATCACATCACTCCGGGAGCTGGGGCCTTAGGCATGGGTCCCTAACACCAACTATTTTCTTCCTCCTGGATTTATGAAGCTCTGGGGTTGGAAAAGCCCATTGCCCTACCTGGCCAATAGGGGGAGCAGGTGGAAACTTTTTGGAAGGAAAAGGCTGATGCAGGAAAAGACTCCTGGGGATGCCAGGTGGCCTGGAGAACTGCATGGTGAGCAGGGCAGGAAGCTGAGCTGAGGAACAGGAGCTGGAGAACCACATGCAGAACAGGTTTGGCGGAGAACCTGTGGCGAAGCAGCGGAGAGTGGGGAGGGACCTTCGGGGAAGAGGGCTAAGTAGACAGGGACTCTCAAGTTCCCAGAGTCAGTAGGTAGCTCAGGCACCTAGAGAGAAAGGACCCTGGAGAAGGCTAGTGGAGCCCCAAATGCCTTAAATACTGGGGATTAGCCTGGAAATGGTCATTGTGCTTTTACTGGGTGTTGGCCCCAAAGAAGTGGTTTCTATCCTTGCACAGGGAAGCTAGGTGCAACAGGGACTTGTGTGTGTGGTGGTGTGTGGTTTGTAAACCAATTGTTGCCCACATTTGGGGCAGCCCGCGGTTGTGAGAAATGCTGTCACAGTAGCAGGTAGCAACGTAGGATTGTCCCCAATGAGCTACACCAGGGACTGATCCTGGCCAGAGAGCCTGCATGTTAGAGGAGGGGCTGAAGACAGCTTGAGGAGCCCTAATTCTGTGGGTTTGCCTCCAGGGGCAAGTCTGGGAGCTGTTGTTTTACCTAGTATTTTAACTGCCTAAGTCATTGTACCTGGTGTATTTGCATCCTTCCCTTTTCTGTCAGCCCTAGTAAACTATCCTTTTATTTTACTGTTTGAGGGACCTACCAGATACTAGCGCCTATGGGGCCTAGCAGCTGAAGCACCTTCAGTGCTTCCCTCTGACTGGTGGTGCTGAGTTGTACCTTAAGTGGTTTGCTGTAGCACAGCACCTCATTAGCAGTATTAGTTACACCAGCTGTGTCTGACTCCCTGCTGTGAGGCAGTGAAGTGCCCCTTGACATACCCCTTGTGGAGGTTGATGGGCTGAGGGGAAAACTAACACTTTGACTGGAAACCATATTACAGATGTGAACAAAATGTGTTAGGATAGAATGATACAACTAGGAGGATATTTTAAAATAGAGAAAGGAAAGGTACTTGGGGGACCCTCCCCCCACAAAATAGAATGTGTATAATTGTGGGCACAAAAGTTGATGCAATGGCCCTAAATGTACTCTGCCACCCAGCGTCTGTGTAGGTTGCCAGGGTTCTCTCACGCACTCAGCAGGGGAACGAAGGTAAGGGGCTGGAGCACCAGTCCACTACAGCACAAGGAATTTGCACAAATGTACCCTAAACTGGAGTTCCTGTGAGTTGATGTCTTCCTGTTAGCTAAAAGATCCTAAGAGAAGTAAAAAAGTGATATATTTCTGCAAGTAGGGTTCTAGTCTGCAGCTTTGTTTAGTTGACTAATCTGGATACAACGTTGTATTTGAAGAGCCATGAGAGAGCTGCTAATGAGAATTGTGCTGTCTTCTGAACTGGTTAGGCTTCTAGTTAGATTGCTTACTCTTTGGAATCCCTATTCTATGGATAATGAACAAAGTTAAGCATTTTTAAAGAGTATATATGTGGAAGTTTTGTGACTTTTTTAGCACAGCTAATTACTGCTACTGTCTCTATGGGCCTGGTTCTAGAATGAATGCAGTGGATGAAAGACTGCAAAGATCTCACCTGATCCTGATTCCTCCAGGAAAAGCCACTGCAAACAATACACTCTTGGGTTTTCTTTTTACTGCATGCTGTCAAGACACTGACGCACACAATACAATACTGGTAAACTAGGATTCACCTGTGCATAACTAATAGCTAGGAGATAACACAAGCACAACTCACCTCCTTATGCTGTGGCTTCTCAATACTAGA